TTTCGGTCCGCCCGCCCCCCTCTAGAGCAGAGCGAGACACGTCCTCCCCCCCAAGCGGCTCGCGCAGTTGGGCCAGGTACCAATTTTGTCGAATTTATTTCAAAATCTGCAGGCGCGGAGCGCCTGCAAAAGTTTTGAAGAAATTTGCAGTCGGGCCTGATTTTCATCAAGATCTTTCAAATTTGCGGTGTGGAGTTGGGGGGTGGGTTAGGTTAGGGTTATTAGGGTTAGAGGGTTAGGGTTAGGGTTAGGGTTAGGGTTAGGGTTAGGGTCAGGGTTAGTCTTGTTGTGTCTGTATATGCCAGCGTTGCAGGGTTCTGCGCTGGGATCTGGCCCCACAGCGCCGACGACTAACTAAGACTCAGCCCCGCACGCTGAGACCTAGGGTACGGGTTAGGGTTAGGGTTAGGGTTAGGGTTAGTCTTCTTGTGTTTGTATGCCAGCGTTGCAGAGTTCTGCGCTGGGATCTGGCCCCAACGCCGACGAGTAAGACTCAGCACCGCACGCTGACCCCACCAAATGCCGCCTCAGGGCGCCAGGCCGCCAGCCACCTCTTACACGCGGCCGGCGCCCTCTCGCGGCAAAAGGGTCGAGCGAGCGGGCAGAGTCGCGCTGTCTGCGCACCCGCGTGCCGATGGGCGGCACACGCATCCGAGAGAGGCCCTGTCACGCCGCCAGTAGCGTTCCGCACTCCCCAGCCACGCCACCAATTGCCGCCTCAGGGCGCCAGCCACCTCTTACACGCGGCCGGCGCCCTCTCGCGGCAAAAGGGTCGAGCGAGCGGGCAGAGTCGCGATGTCCCTGCGCACCTGGGTGTTCGCCGCCTATATGCTCTATCCTGTGCCAAGACGGACACGTTTTGACAATCAAAATCTACCTCAAAATTTGCGGCCGCTCCTCGAAATTTGCTGATCAAAATTTGCGGTGGCCCGGATCGAAACCTGTACTTTGGCCAATCGCCAGCCCCACGTGCCACGCCGCACGCGGCCCTTTCAATAAGCCTTTCTGCTTTCTCTCCCCCCCCCCCCCCCCGAAACCCGAGCGAAAGCGCCGTAACCCGTATTCGGTATTGCGTATAGCGACACAGCGGTGTTCGTGCGTCGACAGATGGCACTCGCAGATACGACTTACGAGATCTCGAGCGTCGAGGCTAGACGACACTCATCTAGTATCTAGACGAGCATAGAACATATGGCTCATGGGTCCTCGAGGTCGAGGTGTTTTGGAACAACAAGATTCAAAATACCGAACTAGCAGACACCTACTCGAGACACCTACTAGCTGGGCGCGGGTGAGGCGAACCAGGGGCAGGGGGAGGCGACGCGTAGCGCACTGCGGCCGCGCCGGGTCTCTCTAGTCGACCCACTTGGTCAGGATCTCGGCCTTCTTGCCCTCGACCTCCGTCGCGATGTCGGCAGCCTGCAGTGTGAAAGCTCCAACGTTGGGGTGAATTCGGGCCTAGATTGCTTTGTGTGAAAACGGTCGAATCCCAGTCGGAGTACGTATTCCCCATCTATCAGCTGCCTTCATGCCCGCGTACTTGGACAGGTCCTTGGCGTCCTCCCACGAGAAGAACTTGAGGTCGCCCTCGGCGTACGGCTCGCGGCCAAAGTGGCAGTACGCGGCGGTGACGTTGTACTTGGGCTGGCGCAGCGCGAGGTCGCGGGCGAGCGCGCCCGGGCGGCAGTCGAAGTACAGCTTGACGAGATCCGTGATGGCGGCGGCGGTCAGCTCGCCCTGCTCGGTGCCGTACGTCTCGACGAAGAGCGAGAGCGGCTTGGCGACGCCGATCGCGTACGACAGCTGCACGCACGCGCGCTTGGCGAGCCCCGACTTGACCACCGACTTGGCCATCCAGCGGCACGCGTACGCCGCGGACCGGTCCACCTTGGTGGGGTCCTTGCCCGAGAAAGCGCCGCCGCCGTGCGCGCCCCAGCCGCCGTACGTGTCGATGATGATCTTGCGGCCGGTGAGGCCGGCGTCGCCCTGCGGGCCGCCGATGATGAACTTGCCCGACGGGTTGATGTGCAGGTTGCACTCGCCGCGGTTGTAGATCGAGGTGGCGTCCTTGCCGTTCTTGAGCTTGATCGACTTGAGCGTCGCGAGGATCACCTGGGAAAGGGGGGAGGAGGGCGAGGAGGTGTGCTGCTGTCAGCTCGCCCAGCTCGGGCAACCTCGGGTAGTCCTCGGGTAGTCTCAGATCGCCGGCGCGGCACGGGCAATGCAATCTCGGGTACTCCTCAGCTCGCCGGTGCAGCACCGGCAGTCTCGGGCAGTCTAAAGGGAGTAGTCTCACCTTTTCGTGGATCTGCTCGTTCATGTCTTCCATCGAGGGCGCGACCTG